GCAATTGGCATATTCTAAAGAATGAACACACCTGGAATAGCAGAAAGCTGTCATTCTCTGATCAAGTAACTGGTGAAATTAAATATTTAGCAGCTACTCACAGTGCGTTCTATGTTGTAGAATAAGCATATACGCAAACAGTTTTCTCCTTTTCCCCCAGTTGGTTACAAGTAAAATGATGTGGCATAAATACTCAGCACAGGTGTATCCTGAGAAGGAAAAATGAGACGTCTGGAGGGAGATGTTTGTGAAGCAATAACTTAGCACTAGGCTATAGAACACAGGCAAGCTAGAATCCCTGTTGTATAAATAACTAGAGGTTGAAATCACAAATGCCTTTACACAGCAATTCTACAAATGTTTATTGAGAACCTACTGTGTTCAGGGTACTCCATTTAAGTTGATCATTAACACAAAAATAATTCAGGAGTTGCAAAGAATTTTTAGAGCATTGGAGGATGGAGGTAACTGTAAAATAAGCCAGGATAAGTTAAGGGCCTTGAGGATACACATTGCTTTGTAGCTTGAAAGGAGAATGAAATTGTTTTTGTTGGAGGGATTGGGGATGGCATTACAGAGGTTATATCCCACATTTGTAAATGGGTGCATTCCACTTTGGATGGTTGAGAATGGCAGAGCAATTTCTTCTTTGTGCCATAGCTCTGTTTAGTATGTGATCTTCTTCCCCCTTAAGAAAAATATTACTATATGCTAATCCTTTCAAAGCCTTTAATGGTGCTGCTGAGACAATCACTTAAGCATTTAAAATACACACTACATAGCACACTTCTTTTACTTTTTTTTTTTTAAACATACTTATTTTAGAGGCAGCAATGGTTAGCCACTGGAAAATGATTGGTTTTTATAAGGGGGGACTTTTATATGTTATGGCTTATGACAGAGAACGGAAAAATGCTTCAGTGAGACAGGCTGGCATTTTGAATTGGAGCACAATAATAGCCAAAAGTGCTGAAGTCAACGGACTGCTTAGAAATATGATTTCCATTTGCTGAGAGAGGCCTTGCAACCACAGGCAGTTCAGTTTTTCCCTAAATGTGGGGCTGTGACCCTGATTGACGTCAGTGAGAGTTATGTACTTAAAGAGAGAAAGATGATTTAGGTCATCCATGAATCTAAGACAAGTAGGACATAGTCAAATAAGCAACAACTTAATAGACGTATACATCATTTAGGTTGGAAACCATGCAAAAGTTACAGTGCTCTTCAGAATTTTATGGGGCTAGCTTAAAAGTTATCCTTTGCCCCCCAAAGCTGTTAAAATAAGAATTGGTTACTAATCTGCATAGCTTGAAGAAGATAAAGAAGGTCAAAGGAAGCTGTGGAAGAGAGACTTAGAGGTGACATTTGATTCATGACTTAGACAATATGAAGGAGATGGCCATGAGACCTGGGAGATGAGAATTCCAAGGAAAACCATCAGCTGCTGGAAAATGTTCTGTTTGTGGCAAACTAAAAGAAATGGGTGACCTTGAGCAAATTGCTTTGCCTCTCTGGGACTCTGTCTTCATTTGTAAAATTAGAGTTGGATTGAGTGAGCCCTAAGGAATTCTTCAGCTCTAAAGTTCAATAAAATAAAGATGATTTAAAGTAGGCCAAATGAAGTTGTTGATTGCTTTCAAAGATGGCAACCCTAAGGCTGGGTGCAGTGGCCTACACCTGTAATCCCAGCACCCTGGGAGGCTGAGGTGGGCAGATAGCCTGAACTGAGGAGTTCCAGACCACCCTGGGCAACATGGTGAGACCTCGTCTCTACAAAAATTTAAGAAGTTAGATGAGTGTGGTGGCATGCACCTATGGTTCCAGCTACTTGGGAGGCTGAGAAGGAGGATGGCTTGAACCCACAACCCTAGGGGTGTTTGAATGTTCAGAATAGGGTGTAATTATTGAGGGGGAGAAAATGTTGTCAAGAGAAAAGTGTCAGGTGGAACAGGGTTCAAGTAAGTGGAGTGGGATGGTATTGAGAAAACACTTCTTCCCCACTTCTGATGTTTCCTTCCCTTTTGGGGGAGTTCAGTCGGTGTAATACTCCTGGTCCTGGTGCTTTATCCTAAGGGAAGTGGAGTGACTTAATTTGGTAAGTCCGAGAAGAAGAAACTGAATGTGCTCTCCTCATCTCGCTTTTGCTTTTGGGCAGCAATCCTGACCACAGAGAGCCATTCTTTTCTCTCCCTCCAGGCCTTAAGTCTTACCTGAGGGAGGCCACCTCCCCTTCTGGAAACTTTAACTTAATCCAGCATTGCCTGTGACCATGTGGATAAAGCTAAATTTGGGATTCAGTGTCCAGGTACCTTTGGCTCTCACGGTAAGCTGTGCTCTCCAGTTCAGCCTTCATCAGAATTGATGGTGATATTTGGTCTGCCTTTGCCGTGTCTTCATCTATGTCTCACCACATTCAGAATCTGGATGAGAGAGAAATGTGCTATTTATTTCACTCTCTAAAAACCCCAAAAGTTGGGATTCAGTGGGGTGGAATAAGCTTAGTAAGCTTTAGTGAGAAGGGATATTGTTCCCTCTGAATTAAGAGAAGGTAATACTTATGAAGAACTAGAGATACTTTGAGGTATGATTGAACAGAGATTCAGAATTATCTCAGCAAAGCAGGGGCCAAATCATCAGCTGAGAATGAGTCAGCCAGCATGGAATTGCAAAGCTAAAAGAAAAGTTTGAGAATTTCCTCTATGGAGAGTATGCAAAAGAATCCGCTAAAGAAAACCAGTGGATTGTTAGGGTGACAAACGTTTCGTCACTTAAAATACATACCACGCAGTACACTGATTTTAGAGGCAGCAGTGGTTAGCTGCTGGAAAGGCAGCCGTCGCTTTTCATGACTGGTTCTGCTAACAGGTTTGAGTGGATAGGGCCCTAGGGCAGCCTCATTCTCTGCCACTGGGAACAAAAGTAGTGAGAACCGCTCTGTAGAATGTATTTTATGCGTTAATTATACAGATTTTTAGAAGTAAATTTAGGAATCCATTAGAGTTGGACAATAAATAATTATAATGTTAAAAATGCTAAACTTTTTCTCCAAGTATGATAGTTTAGCGAGCCACTGAATTGACCCTTGTCTGAGTTGATGCAGGTTTTTCTTCTGTATGTGTGTTCAGGGTTTTTTTTTTTTTTTAATTAAGTTTTTTAAAAAAAAAGCCCAATCAACAAAATACAGTATGTTAGCAGCCACAGCCGTCCTCAGAATGAAGTTTTAACATCATTGTTTCTCATTACTTAGAAATAGCCAACAGCTTTATCGAAGGTTATTTTTCAAAATGACAGGACAGAAAATACTCTGGTTTATCCTCTGTGCCCATTGACTTTTCTAGGACCAAGGGAAATACCAGCTTCTACATAAAGTAAATTCAAACTATTCTTTGCATCTTTGATTTCTCTCTACTCCTATTGCACTGAAAGGGTACCACATATAGTTCAGTGGGGGAGGGAGCATGGACCAGGGAAGGGTTTCAGGAGATGGTTGCACTTAAACTGGGACATGGAGGAAGAATAGGATTTGGCAATTTGAGGTGGGAGGTAGGAGCCAGTTGCACTCCAAGTCCAGCACAAGGGTTAGTCCAGAAGGCACAGAGGCCTAGAGTCAAGTTCTCTTCAGGAGGCAGTGTTTTGAGTAGGCCCCCTGGCTAGAGGAAGAGCATGCAAGGGGGTGTTGTCTCCATTACTGGAAAAGTAGCTAGAAACCGGATTGTACAAGCTGCAGGAGGTGGGACTTTTTCAGGTTAGGTGAGATTTTGAAGAGGAAATAGTCTGTGGAGAGGTAGAAACTGAAAATCAATGGGATGACCTAGAATGAGATTCTAGAAGGAAAGGAAATAGAAGGGTCTAGTAGAGATGCAGATAAAGCTGGCAGGGAAGTGAGGAGGAGTTAGGATACAAAGGAAGGGCTTGATTTACCTGAAAATTCAGGCAAGTAATGATGTTTTGTAGTTGTTAAAAGATTGCCTCCTGATATTTAGAAATACAAAAATGATTTTAAATGTATCTACTCCGTTAGAGTTTTTCTTTCTGTTTCCCTGCCATTTCTTTTTTGGTTTTGGTAAAAGAATAAGAAAGAACAGCCTATGCTGCAAGAAATTAGGTACACAACAGGGACTGAAATAATTTCAAATAATTTTTCTTTTAGCCAAATTGCTAGTATACAATAAGAATACATTTTGATTCAGAACTTTTATGAAGAACCTGTGCATTTTATTGTAACATCTGTTTCTACATTTTAATTTCTCTCCCTCCTTTTATAGGTATTTGCATGCTTTTTTTTTTCAAGTGAGAAGACCTTTTGTTTGCCACAGAAGGCTATTATCCAGAATGTTAATGGGTTTTCAGCTATTAAGACGTAATGATATACCTTGAGTATTTAACTATAAATTTGAAAAATCTCCGTGAACAATCTCAAAGGAATACTTAGAATGCACTCCTGGTAAATTGGCTCATTTTCCTGTAATTTACTGGAAGTGCCGATATGAGAGCAGTTCTAATGTGAAAAGTACATTAATCCCTGGAGTTACATTGTATGTATTAAATTATTACTCTCAAAGAATAAAATGTATGGGGCCATTTAGCTTTCATTCACACTTGTTACTTGGAATCACAGTGGAAAAACAATCACTTATCTTTTGATGCACAAAATTAGAAGGGATACATTTAATATCTTTTAAGACTAGAGGCATAGCGATGCTTGGTTACACTTTTGTGTAACAATTGCTCTTTTCTGAAAGAAGGACAGTTGTCATTGGAGCATGCTGCTTCTGGCTTTGTGGAGGCCCATGCCATTCAGTTGGTAATTGAAATATTTTTAGAAACCCATAATGCAGATTTCGTTCATGTCAATAAAAAAAAAATTAATGAGCCTTCTAGCCATGAACATCTACTACTTGGGGGGTTAAGAATGGTGGTCAACTTGCAGGAGCAGCACTTGCAGGAGCATTTAGGTCTTATTTGGAATTTTGTCTAATTGTGCTTTCCTTCTTTGCCAGGAGACTGAAAGTTGTGGAACCATAACCTGTGACATCAGTTGTTTTTTTGATAAGCAGCTATTTATGATTCTGGAAGATTAAGGCAGATAGGAAACCCCCATCTGAAATTTTAACCAGCCTCTCAAACAATAAACCACATCATGGACATACAGCTGGACCCTGCCAGAGATGACCTGCCTCTCATGGCCAACACCAGCCACATACTTGTGAAGCACTATGTGCTGGATTTGGATGTGGATTTTGAAAGTCAAGTCATTGAGGGGACCATAGTACTTTTCCTTGAGGATGGAAACAGATTCAAGAAACAGAATAGCTCCATCGAGGAAGCCTGCCAATCAGAGTCAAACAAAGCCTGCAAATTTGGGATGCCTGAACCCTGCCATATTTCTGTGACAAATGCAAGGACCTTCTCATCTGAAATGGATTATAATGATTTTGCAATCTGTAGTAAAGGTGAAAAAGATACTCCTGATAAAGATGGTAACCATGACAACCAGGAACATGCTTCTGGGATTTCTAGCTCAAAGTACTGCTGTGACACAGGGAATCGTGGGAGTGAGGACTTTGTGCTAGTGTTGGACTGCTGTGATTTATCTGTGTTAAAAGTCGAGGAGGTGGATGTTGCTGCTGTGCCAGGTATGGAAAAATTTACAAGGTCTCCCAAGCTCACAGTTGTTTCTGAGGAGCTCAGGAATCAGATTGTACGTGAACTTGTGACTTTGCCTGCAGATTGTTGGAGGGAGCAGTTAGACTATTATGCTTGCTGCAGCCAGGCTCCTGGCTGTGGAGAACTCCTCTTTGACACTGACAGTTGGAGCTTACAGATCAGAAAGACAGGGGCTCAGACAGCTACTGACTTTCCTCATGCTATCAGAATATGGTACAAAACTAAACCCGAAGGGCGATCAGTTACATGGACCTCAGACCAGAGTGACAGGTAGGTTATCCGAGGGCTTCGCAGTCCCGTGCCTGTTAATCTTGTACGCTGCAGGGATGCTTTCAAACATGAGACCAGTTCTGTAGAGATGCTCCTGTGTATTCTGTGACATTACCCAAGTAGCCTCAAATCCTTAGACCTACAGTGAAGCAGGTAAATTCCCAGGCATGCTAAACCCATAATAGGATTAGCTCCCTTAAGTCAGGATGAAAAGATTATTAAGCCCCGGTATTTCTGAGTTAAGAGATTGAAAGGCAAGCTTAATGATGAAATCCTGAGCCTCAGTCTCCATTGAGATCTCTGCTAGTGACTTGGAGTGCTGTAGATGGGAGTGATGTGTCTCCAAGTGAATACTTGCTTAACGTTCCTTCATAGGCCCTTGAGAGACTAGACTGCCGTGAAGTTGGGCTGGTGTGAAGCCTGGCAAAGTGCTTTCAAATAAAGCCAGCTCTGCTTTGCGACTTTCTTACCGTACCTGTCTATTGGCAGCTGTGCCTCCCTGGACTTTGTCAGTCGTCATATAGTGTAACCCCCTCAAAGCATACAAAAGACCTGTTTCTGAGGAGCCTGACAATCCTCTGAGACCACACACTGGCCTTGTTGGCCGTGATTCTTAGTATTTGGTACCAGAAAGACCCCTGATTTTCAGTTCGAGGAGAAGGAATTGATGAGGCATTGTTTTCTGGAGGATATATTTAGGCAGCCATCTGGTCTTTTTCTTATTGCCGTTCTTCCAACAGTTGTTCTTTTTTTTTTTTTTTTATTTGAGAATTTAAAAATCAAACTTTATTGACTCCTCTGTATATTACCTATTTGTGCTAAAGTACTGCAAATCAATGATAATTATTGCAGCGCTTGAATGAATGTTGACCTCTGTTAGCTGGGTTTCAGAGCCTTCTTTTATAGCATTGAATTTCCTTAATTGAAGCAGTGTCTTCAGCAATTGCTTACATATCTCCCTCAATTCATCCCCAAAACACCTTGTAGAGAAACATTTTTAAAGCCTCACTTTGACTTTGAGCTCTAATTATCTATTTCTTGCCTCTAATCTTACCTCCTGTCCTGGTCTCCCATCCTGCTCAGAATGAGCTCGCTTCCTGTCTTATTTCTGCTAGAGTCTGAGGCAGCCATTGGGAAATTGTGGGGTGGGTGCAAACTTACATCAGTACAAAAGCATAGTGATATATTTATAGATTAACTTATTAGATTTTTTTTGAGACTGTGAAAAGTATTAAACAGGTGTTCTTATTGTATCTTCACACTTGCTCGAAATTATTAAAGATGGGAATTTCAATAGGATTTAACAATATAATATCTCTGAATATTTAACTAGGAAATTGTAGTTTTTATACTCCTAGATATTTCATTTTTGAACTAGAATAAGGAGGAAGAAGGAACTATTCAAAGTATTTGGAAGAAATATTTATGGCCTCAAACATGACTTTCTCCTGAGTGCTCACTGCAAAGAAAGAGATTAGACTGGCGAATTAAATAACATGTAAAAATGTTGAGCAGGAATGACTTCTATAAAGAAACTAAAGAGGTCCTTGGGCACATTTTGCTCCTTCAAAGGGTAAATTTACTCTTGATATCTCATTTTCTGGTAATTCAGTAAACTGTATGATCATAGCAGATGTTTAAACTGTATGCTTTGAAGTTTGGGATTATATGTTAGTGTATTAATGCCACTTGTGCAGTCTTCTGAGGACAAGAAAAATTATTTTAAAAAACAATTTCTAGAAAGATATTTTCTCTTTTTTCTCATTTTCTGGGGTGGGGAATTTTATTTATAGTCAAAATAACCTCTCGTGAATGAGCACCAGGTCTCTCAACTCTCCCATGCACTGCAGAATAAACCTCAAGATGTACTGGTAACTGTTTGGATATGCTAAGGACTTTAAAATGAGTAAGGAATGTCAGGTTGCTAGACAGAAATAACTTCTTAGTGATATAAATAAATAGTAATTATCAGGATCACAATACTTTATGAATATAATTGTGTGAAAATATAAAATTTTACAATTGCATGAAAAACATGATTAGCTAGAGCTTATTCCTCTGGGGAACGGGGTCTACCTTTATTAAAACTAAAATAATTTCTACATACTTGTTTCTGAGGGGCAGAACACTATCAGTTATACCCACTATAAATTCTCAGGCTAGGATGAGAAGCTCTTTATTCTCATTTTACAGGTAACAAAATTAAATAAAATGACTGGAAGTTCCTGGGTAAATCTGTGTCTCAAGTGAGAAAGAGAACAACTTTTTATGAATTTGATGTTTCCATGTCACTTATTGTATGCAAAGCTTTCAAGTACATTTAAAACATAAATTTATTACATTAGCTCTCAATAAATTTCTGTTTTTAACAGGAGATTAGATAGAAATATAAGAAAATCTCTCAATTGGTATCTTTCCTTTTAATTTCCATTAGAGGCTTTCCTCTTTCCCACCTGCACTCTATCCCAGCTGAGAATAAAACTTATGAGTATCAAAATAAAATAGCTTAATATAGATGTGGATGGTTGCATATGGAAATAATTACAGATACGTATGTTCCCAAGGGTTAGTGTGTGTGTATATATGCACTAATATGTTAGTGTGTGTGTATATATATTTATATATATACACACACACTATATCTTGGCTTGTCAGCTGAGAGGGTCTTAGAAGTAAGCACACCTAGCGTCCAGATCTTAGTTTCTGATACCATTCTCCGATAAAGAGAACTAGTGCTTCTTGGAGAAATGGCCAGGATAGCAGCAGGAAATATACAAAATGGGTCTGGAGCATCTTGTAATGCCAGAAAGTAATGAAGTCCTCAAACAGCAGGAGCAACAACCCAGAGTGATTAGGGTATGCCAGGGGGAAAAGGGGCTGTCTGAAAGAGCTCCTCGTGGCCAAAGCCGAGCAACAAAATATATCAGGCAGTTTCAAATGACATCCCAGAATGTGAAATAAATTAGCCATTAGTCCAAGCTGATATAAAAGAATGATTGAATAAATAAACAAGTGAGGAAGAATAGACAAATCCATGGTGCAAAAGAATTCTGAGTTAGTTGTGGGCGTGTTCTATCCTCAAGGAGGTGGGGCATAACACCTCACTCCTTAAGTGTGGACTACACAGTGAGTGACTCCCTTCCAAAGAGAACAGAATGGAAAGGGAGAAATAAGTAACTTTACACTAGAGAAATATGACAGTACTACCTCAGCAGGATGATCAAGGTCAGCATCAACAGTGATAATTTATGTGGGTAGTATTTTCTCTGGTATATGATGAAAGGGATGTCTTTGTCGTCTGCCTCCCAAAAGCTCTTAACCCCAATCTAATCATGAGAAAAGCATCAGATACATCCCAGTCAAGGGACATTAAACATAATACGTGATCAGCACCTCTCAAAATGAATAAGGTCAGCGTAACTGCCACAGTCAAGAGGAGCCCTAGGAGACATGATGATTAAAAGCAATGTGGTGTCCAGGCTGGGCACAGTGGCTCACACTGGTAATCCCAGCACTTTGGGAGGCCATGGTGGGCAGATAAATTGAGGCCAGGAGTTCAAGACCAGTCTGGCCAACATGGCAAAACTCAATCTGTACTAAAAATACAAAAAAATAGCTGGATGTGGTGATGGGCACCTCTAGTCCCAGCCACTTGGGAGGCTGAGGTGGGAAGATCACTTGAGCCCAGTAGGTCAGGCTGCAGTGAGTCATGTTTGTGCCACTGCACTCCAGCCTGGGCGACAGAGCATGACTGTGTCTCAAATGTAATGTAGTATCTGGAAACAGAAAAAAGACATTCAGGAAAAACTAAAGAAAGCTGAATGAAGTGTGTACTAATATATCAATATTGGTTCACTACTTTTGACAAGTATACTAATATAGGATGACACTAATAGGGAAAACTGAGTATGGAGTATATGGGAACTCTGTGTATTATCTTTGTGATTTTTATTTTTTGTTTTATTATTATTTTATGAGACAGGGTCTCGCCCAGGGTGGAGAGCAGTGGCATGAACTTGGTTCACCAAGTTCTTACCCTGAAAATCTCTTTTGTAAGAGCTGTTTTCTCACTTTACCATGTGGCAGGGTCTCTGTAGAAGAAAATATATTTGTAGCCTTGACCTCTTGGGCTCAAACTATTCTCCCACCTCAGCCTTCCAGGTAGCTGGGACTACAGGTATACACCACCATACCCAGCTAATTTTTGTATTTTTTGTAGAGATTGGATTTCACCATGTTGCCCAGGCTGGTCTTGAACTCCTGGGCCCAAGCATTCCTCCCACCTCAGCCACCCAAAGTGTTGAGATTACAGGCATGAGCCACTGTGCCCAGCCTTATCTTTTCAGTTTTTAAAATCCAAAACTGTTTTAATATAAAAAGTTTATGGTGGGTCACGCCTGTAATTCCAGCACTTTGGAAGACGGAGGCAGGAGAATAGCTTGAACTGAGGAGTTCAAGACCATCCTGGGCAACATGGCAAAACCCTTTCTCTATAAAAAAATAATAATTAGCTGGGCGTGGTGGCACGTGCTTGTAGTCACAGCTACTCGGGAGGCTTAGGTGGGAATATTACTGGAGCCCAGGGAGGTTGAGGCTGCAGTGAATCACGTTTGCGCCACTGCACTCCAACCTGGGCAACAGAGTGAGACACTGTATCAAAAAAATTATTAAAACGATAATTTCAAATTTGGAAAGAGATCACTATCTTTCTACCCTGAAATCTCTTTTGTAAGAGCTGTTTTCCCACTTTACCATGTGACAGGGTTCTCTGGAAAAGAAAATATATTTGAAGCTATAAAACAGTATTTCTTCTGAATAATTATCAATAATTTCATCCTTATTGTTGTTCTAATATGAAATATCTGGAAATAGAAAACTCAGTTTTCCTACCTTAGTTTAGCCATTTGTGGGTTGCCTCCAACATTCAGATACTGGATTGTAGGTGACATTTAAAAATGACTGATGGGAGGAACACATATATAACAATCTGATACAACGTG